TCTCTCTCTCTCTCTCTCTCACTCTCTCACTCTCTCTCCCTCCCACTCTATCTGAACAAAAAATGGAAAAATGTCCTCGGGTGAGGATAAAAAAAAAAAAAAGTCAAAACGTGGTGGAGTGGATATCTCTCATTTCATGGCTGCCTATCACATTTTGAATAGTTCTTTAAATCAATTTTGATAAATTCTCAGCCATTCAAATACTGTTTCTGTACCTTTTCCTCTTTCTTTCTGAAGCCTTAATCCAAACACATGTCAGACCTTCTTTCTACATCCCTTTCTTCAGTATTTTCTATCTGTGGTCCTTCCATGTTTTGCTCTAAAAAATTTCTTCTCACTATTTTTCAGTTCACTAATTCTCTCTTCAGCATTTTTATATTTAAAAAAAAAAAAAAAAAAAAACTTCTCTTAAATCCACCCATTAAGCTCTTAAATTAGATTATTCTATTTTTTTTTTTTTTTTTTTTAGTTCTAGAATTTCTATTTTGTCCTTTTTCAGATCTGCTTAGTCACTTCCTATATCTATCTCTTAGTTCCCTGCTATAATTTCCAAGCTTGGCTTTTCTCTCTTGAGGCATAGTAAGTCTAGTTGTTTTATGGTCTATTTCTGTTCATTCCAATCTGGAGTCCCCATGGTTCAGCTTCCATTGTCAGTTTTTACTACTGGTTCTTCCTCATGTTGTTTTACCTCCTCATGGACCTGGTTATGTTTTGGATATTGCATTTAAAAAAATCATTTGTGGCAACAATGATACTATCTTTCTCTGCAAAGGGTTTCCATTGTTTCTACAGGTATCTGGGGACACTAGCAAGCTAGGATCACCTTAACCCAATTTAAGAGCTTCTGATTTCTGAGTCTTCCAGATGACTTTGAAGCTGGACTGTAGTCTGTGGTAGGGTTTGCTTATTTATGGTTCCCCTTACTCAATGCTGCAGTTCTTTGAGGTCCCAGTCAAAAATGGAAGTTATTTTAGTTACACATTGTTCCATAGCAAACTATCCCAAATTCAGTGGTTTAAAACAGACGTCAATAGACTTTGCCTTAAAAGGCTAGATGGTAAATATTTTAGGCTTAGAGGCCATATGGTCTCTGTCACAAATATTCAACTCTGTCATTATAATACAACATAGTCAGAGACCATACATAAATGAATGACATGGCTGTGTTCCAGTAAAACTTTATTTACAAAAACAGACAGCTATTCTTAAACTGATAAAGGCTATCTATGAAAACTCACAACTAATACATACTTAATGCTGAAAGGCTAAATCCTTTCCCCAGAAAACCAGATAAAGAGCAAGACAAATGTCCACCCTTGCCACATCCATTTAATATTGTACTGGAGGATCTTTCCAGAGCAATTTTTAGGCAAGAAATAGGAAATACAAATTAAAAGGCATCTAGATTAGCCCGCGCCAGTTTGGGTCAGCAGTTAGAGCATTGTCCCACAGACCAAAGGGTTGCAGGTTCAATTCCTGGTCAAGGGCACGTACCTGCGGTTGCAGGTTCGATCCCCAGCCCTGGTCTGGGTCATGTGGGAAGAAACCAATCTATGTGTCTCTCTCACATCGATGTTTCTCTCTCTTTTTCTCTCTCTCTCTCCCTCCCTCCTTTCCACTCTATCTAAAAATCAATGAAAAAATATTCTTGGGTAAGGATTAACAAAAAAATTAGAGTCATCCAGATTAGAAAGGAAAAATTAAAACTATCTCAACTCACAGATAACATGATTTTGTGTATAGAAAATCCTGAGGAATCCACTCAAAAAAACATTAGAACTAATAAATAAATTCAGCCAGGTTGCAGGATAGAAGATCAATAACAAAAATCAATTGTATTCTCTTTATACTTTTTTTGTTTATCCTCACCTGAGGATATTTTTGTATTTATCTTCAGATAGAGCGGGAGGGAGAGGGGGAGGAAGAAAGAGAGAGAAACATCGATATGAGAACTGAACCCAGGACTCCCTGGTCCATGGGCTGACGCTCTAACTGCTGGGCCAAACTGGCCAGGGCTCTTTATACTTTTAATAAAAAATAAAAAAATACTATTTAAAATTTTTCATTTATAACAGCATTAATAATAATAAAATACCGTCTTGGCCAGTGTGGCTCAGTTGGTTGGGTGTCCTCCCATGCACCAGGAGGTTGCCAGTTTGATTCCCAGTCAAGGGCACATGCCCGTTTTGAGGGCTCAACCCCCGATAGGAGGCATGCAGGAGGCAGCCCACCAATGTTGTACACTCACATTGGTATTTCTCTCTCTCTCCCTCTCCCTTCCTCTTTCTCTAAAAAATCAATAAACTATCCTTTAAAAAAAATTAAAAGGAATAAAATACTTAAGAATAAATTTATCAGAAAAGTGTAAAACTTATGCTATGAAAACTACAAAACACTATTGAAAGACATTTTAAACGTTTTTTGTTTGTTTTTTTATCCTCACCCGAGGATATTTTTCCATTTTTTGTACAGATAGAGTGGGAGGGAGAGAGAGAGAGAAACATCGACGTGAAGGGACACATCGAGTGGCTGCCACCCGCACGACCAACCAGGGCCGGGGACAAACTGCAACCGAAGTACGTGTCCTTAGCGGGAACCGAACCCGGGTCTCTCCAGACCGCAGGCCGACGCTCTAACCGCTGAGCCAAACTAGCCAGGGCTTTTTTTTGTGGTACGTGCCCCTAGCAGGAACCGAACCCGGGACTCTCTGGTCTGCAGGCCGACGCTCGACCGCTGAGACAAACTGGCCAGGGCTTGAAAGACATTTTAAAAGAACCAAATAATTGGAAAAGCATCCTATGTTCATATATTAAAGGACTTAATAGTCTTAAGATGGCAATACCCCCCAAACTGATCTATAAATTCAAGGCAATCCTGGCAGCGTCCCAAATGACTTCTTTATAGAAACTGACAAGCTGATTCTAAAATTCAAAAAGAATTGCAAGGAACCCAGAATAGCCAAAACAATGTATTTTAATTTTCTTCTTTTTTATCCTCATCCGAGGACACTTTTGCATTTATCTTCAGACAGAGCAGGAGGGAGAGAGGAGGGAAGAGAGAGAGACAAACATCAACAGTGAGAGAGACACATCGGTTGGCTGCCACCAACACGGCACCAACAGGGCCGGGGACAAACCGAGGCACATGGCCTTAGCAGGAACCGAACCCAGGACTCTCAGGTCCGTGGGCTGATGCTCTAACCGCTGAACCAAACCAGCCAGGGCCAAAACAATATATTTTAAAAAGGAGAAGGATTGCCTTGGCTGGTTTGGCTCAGCAGTTAGAGTATCGGTCTGCAGACCAAGGAGTCCCGGGTTCTGGCCAGGGCATGTATCTCGGTTGCAGTTTGTTCCTGGCCCTGGTTGGGGTCATGTGGGTGGCAAACAATCAATGGGTATCTCTCACATCAATGTTTCTCTCTCTCTCTCTTTCTCTCTCTCTCCCCCTCCCTCCCTCCCTCCCTCCCACTCTGTCTAAGATAAATGAAAAAATATCTCTGGTGAGGATTTAAAAAAAAGTAGAAGGATTCACATTTCCTGATTTCAAAATGTACTACAAAGACAGCAACACAAGGATAAATATGTAGATCAATGAAATAGAATTCAGAGTCCAGAAGTAAACCCACACATTTGTGGTTAACTGATTTTTTTTTTTAATTTTGAAGACTTTAAAAAAATTTTTTTATTTTATTGATTTTTTTTTTTGAGAGAGAGAGAAACATCAGTTTGTTGTTCCACTTATTTATGCATTCATTGGTTGATTCTTGTATGTGCCCTGACCAGGAATCGAACCCACAACCTTGGTGTTTTGGGACCATGCTCTAACCAATTGAGCTATCCAGTCAGGGCCTGTGGTCAACTGATTTATTTTGTTTGTTTTTTATCCTCACCCGAGGATACTCCTTTATTTTTTGTTCAGATAGAGTGGGAGGGAGAGAGAGGAAGAGAGAGAAACATCGACATGAAAGGGACACATCAAGTGGCTGCCATGCCACCCGCACAACCAGCCAGGACCGGGGACAAACTGCAACTGAGGTACGCACCCTTAGTGGGAACCGAACCCAGGTCTCCCTGGACCACAGGCCGATGCTCTAACCACTGAGAAAAACCAGCCAGGGCTGGTCAACTGATTTTTGACAAGAGTACTAAGTGTTGGTGAGTATGTACATAAATTAGAACCCTTGTGCACTGCTAGTGGGAATGTAAAATAGTACAGCCTCTGTGGCAAATGGCACTTCCTATAATGTTAAACATAGAATTACCATATGACCCAGCAATTCCACTCCTAGCCATATACCCAAAAGAATTGAAAAGAGGGATTCAAACAGACACTTCTATACCAGTGTATATAAAATTATTCATAATAGCCAAACAGTGAAAACAATACATATGTCTATCAACTGATAAACCGATAAACAAATGTGGTGTATCCATACAATGGAACATTATTTGGCCATAAAAAAAGGATAAAGTACAGATAAATGTTACAACATGGATGAACCTTGAAAACATTATGCTCACTAAAACAAGCCAGTCACAAAAGACCATATATTATATAATTCTATTCATATGAAATGGAAGTAGATTAGTGATTGCTTAGAACTTGGGGAGAAGGAAAGATAAGAGGAGGCTAGGTAAAGGGTACAGGGTTTCTTTTTGAGGTGATAAAAATGTTCTAAAGTTAACTGTAGTGATGATTACAAATATCTGTGAATATACCAAAAACCACCGAGTTGGATACTTTAAATGGGTTAATTGTATAATATGTGAATTAGTTGTATTTCAATAAAGCTGTTAAAAAAAAAAAAAAAAACACAGGCAGCCATCCATGGGCCCTAGTTTGCTTACTCCTGGCTTTAAAAAATAGCTATTGTATTTATTTGCTCATGATTCAACAATTTGAACAGGATTCAGAAGAGACAACTCAACTGGTCTCTGTGGCATCCTCTGGGGCAGCTTGACCAGGCCCGAATGATTTACCTCCAAGGTGGTCTTACTCACATGTAAGCCAATGGGAGCTCAGCTGGAATGTTGGCCAGGATCCTTGGTTCTTCTCTACATGGTCTCTCCATGACGCTTTGTTGGGTTTCTCACAGTGTGGTGGTCTCAGGGTAGTTGGACTTCTAAACATGGTGGCTGGATTCCTTCAAAGAACAAATGTGGAAGCTGTCAGGCCTTCTTAAGGTTTAGGCCTGAAATTGACAGTGCCAGTTCCACCACATTCGGTCAATTAGAGCAGGTCACAGGGCAGTCCAGATTCAAGGGGAGGAAACCAATAATGGTGTGACTACTCAAATACATGTTTCACTAGGGGCCATTAAAGTAACAATTTATCTCTGCCCCCTAATGATTCACTTCCCTCCTACGTGCAAACTCTAGTTACCACCCTTAAGACCCCCAAAGTCTCACCCATTACTGTAATAGGATTGAGCTTGATGTCTGTAACTTCATCTAAATCAGATTCAGGTATGAATAAAGTTTCTCAAGTGATGCTCCTCTGGATCTGATGATCTTTAAACAAAGACAACTTATGATGAATCAGAGAAAGGAAAATCTCAATAGATACTCCTATTCAAAAATAAGGAAATGGCAGGCACTTAGCAGCAACAGGTCCATAGCAATTCTGAAATCCAGCTGGGCACATGTCACCAATTCTTTGGTTAGGTGCCAGTTCGTAGGGTAGTTGAACTCCTTACACTGGCACTTCCCCCAGAAACAAAATATAGATGGAAAGCTGCCTTCTTGAGTCTTGAACTAGACCTGCCACAACATCACTTCCATCACATTCCATAGGGTGAAGTGGATCACAGAGCCAGCCCTGAGTACATAGGGCATAAATATCCATAGCCATGGGTCATCAAAGAAGAGTTTACTACAGGGGTGGTTTGTCAGAGTCTCTAACTTTGGTAGGCCCTGAACTCCTATTTTGTATCCCTAGTCCTAAGAAGCTTTCAAAAGCATAGCTCAGACTCTTCAATGACTCAGATTGGCAAATGTCCTCAGATACAAGCAGCCCCAAGTACTGGACTCACTTCTCTGCTAAGGTTGCCAGATTGAACAAATAAAAAATTACAGGACACCCAATTAAATTTGAATTTCAAATAAACAACAAATTATTTTTTAGTATAGGTATGTTCCAAGTATTACATGGATATACTTATGCTAAAAAATAATGTGTTATTTATCTGAAATTCAAATTTAACTGGAACATACACTAAAACAATATTTGTTGTTTATCTGAAATTCAAATTTAACTTGGAGTCCTGTACTTTATCTGGTAACTCTAATCTCTCTGGACTCCTATCTTTTCATGTGTCTTGACCCAGTAATTCCTCACTATATTGCTAGATTTTAATGCTTTTAAGATTGAAAAATATTTGTCTAGCATATATAGTTGTCTTTGACAGGAGGATTGGTCCAAATTCTCAATGGCCTTTCTATATCTGGGGAAATGTTTTGCTCCTCAACCTGGAAGTCAGAAATCAAATCCCTCGTCTCCCTTGCATCTAGAACATAGACATGTGATCTATCTCTACTAATCACACACCCAAAGGAGACTTTAAATTGGAAGTGCAAGACATGAGGCTTGGTGACAGGCTCCCACTTTTCATTGGACAGGTGACTATAAACAATTCCACTTCTGGGACTTCCGGTCAAGATGGAAGGTAGGTAAACGTGGTATCGCATCCTCCCACATCCACATCAAAGTTACAACTAAACTACAGAACAACCATCATTCAGAACCATCTGAAATCCAACTGAATGGCAGTCCTACAGCTACGGAATTAAAGCAGCAGCCACATTGAGACTGGTAGGAGGGCAGAGGTGGACAGGCTGGTCCCACACCCACGTGTGGCGGATAAAAATCAGGAGGACACCTCGGCTGGGAAGGTCCTCCCTGAGGACTGAGGGGTCCCCGTCCCACACCAGGCGCCCCACTCAGGGTTCCAGTGCCAGGAAGAGAATCCCCATCACTTCTGGATGGAAAACAGCAGGAACTGAGGCTCAGGGAGGCTGAGGCAGCTGGAGCCCCAGGCAGCTCCTCTTAAAGGGCCCGCGCACAGACTTATCGGACTCACTCCCCTAAGCTTGGAGGGGAGGCAGCTCCAGGGGTGCCAGACACTTACAGGGAAGAACTGAGCTGTATGGCACTGGAGTGAGGGCTGGAGAGGGGGCTTTCTCCAGGAAAAACATGCTGTCAGAGGCCTTTGTTGCTTTGGTGAGCCCTTCCCTGGGGTGGCAGACAGCTACTATATCTGGGACTCCAGCAACCTGGCTCATACTGTTTGCCCCTCCCTGGTGATTCCCTGAGGCCCTGTCCCACCCAACTTTCAGGCCCACCCAAGCTGTTGCCACTTGCTTAACCATAGCATGGGCCTGTCTTGGATCCTGCTCCAGGTTTTCCTAAATTCTTTCAAACAAGCAGCATCTGGTCTCAGCGAGCCCCATACCTCTCATTAAGTAATACACTGAAACAAACACAGGGAGGCAGCCAAAATGAGGAGACAAAGAAACAGGTCCCAAATGAAAGAACAGAACAAAACCCCAGGAAAAGAACTAAGCGAAATGGAGATAAGCAACCTCACAGATGCTGAGTTCAAAATATTACTTATAAGGATGATCAATGAACTTAGTGAGAACCTCAGAGAACTTAGTGAGAGCCTCAAGAGCATAAAATCGGACCAGTCGAAATGAAGGAGGTACTAACTAAAATAAAGAATAATTTACACAGATTCAATAGTAGAGTTGGTAAAGCCAAGAAGCAAACTATTGATTTGGAATATAAGGAAGCAAAAATACCCAATCAGAACAGCAAAAAGAAAAAAGAATCTTAAAAAAATGAGGATAGTGTAAGGAGCCTCTGGGACAACTTCATGTGTGCCAACATTTGAATCTTGGGGGTGCTGGAAGGAGAACAGAGAGAACAAGAAATCAAAAACCTATTTGAAACAATAATGGCAGAAAACGTCCCTAATTTGGTGAAGGAAAGAGACATACACGCCCAGTAGCACAGAGAGTCCCAAATAAGATGAACCCAAAGAGGCCCACACCAAGACACATCATCATCAAAATGCAAAAGGTTCAAGACAAAGAGAGAATCTTAAAAGCAGCAAGAGAAAAGCAGTTAGTTACCTGCAAGGGAGTTCCCATTAAACTGTCAGCTGATTTCTCAAAAGAAACTTTGCAGGCCAGAAGGGAGTGGCAAGAAATATTCAGAGTGATGAAAAGCAAGAACCTACAACCAAGATTACTCTATCCTGCAAAGCTGTCATTTAGAATCGATGGCTATATAAAGACTTTCCCAGACAAGAAAAAGTTAAAGGAGTTCATCACCACCAAACCGTTGTTATATGAAATGTTGAAGGGTCTTTTTAAAGAAAAAGATAAAATATATGAACAAACAAAATGGCAATGAATACATATCTATCAACAATGAAATCTATAAACAAAATGAACAGGCAGAACAGAAACATTCTCGTAGATACAGAGAACATTTTGTTGGTTGCCAGATGGGAGGGGGGTTGGGGGAATGGGTGAAAAAGGTGAAGAGATTAAAAAGAACAAATTGGTTGCAAGACTAACAAACCTCAAAGGGAAGGGGGTTGGGGTGGGGGATAAACTAAAGAACTTATTTGCATAACCAATAGATACAGACAACAGTGTGGGAAAAGGCAGAAGGGGGGTGGGAGTGGGGAGGAGGGGGTCAATGGGGGAAAAATGAGGAACATCTGTAATACATTCAACAATAAAGATAAAAAGAAAATAAAAATAAAACAAAACAATTCCACTTCTTAAAATGAGACAAATCTTGCCCAGCCAGTGTGGCTCAGTGGACTGAGCATCGTCCCATGGACTGAGAAGTCCCGCTTCAGTTCCTGGTTAGGGCACATGCCTGGGCTGCAGGCTCGATCCCCAGTGGGGAGCATGCAGGAGGCAGCTGATCAATGTATCTCTCTCATATTGATGGTTTTATCTCTCTCCCTTCCTCCCTTCCTCTCTTTCTGGAAAATCAATAAAAACATATTTTTTAAAATGAGACAAATCTATATATACTGTAGCAGAGATTGTTAGTCATCTCTCTCCTCTTCTACTCTGATTTTTGAGCTGGGAACATGGTTACCTGGAATAAAGGATATGTTTCCCACCCTGACCGGTTATGCTCAGTGGTTAGAGTGTCGGCCCATGGACCAAAGAGTCCCAAGTTCGATCCCAGCCAAGGTCATGTACCTCGGTTGCAGTTCATCCCTGGCCCCAATTGGGGTCATGCGAGTGGCAACCAATCATTGTGTCTCTAGATGCAGATGTAATGGCTGGAGCTCAAATGTAATGGCATGGAGCCATATTGCACCATGTGGTAGAAGATCCATGTTGAGGAAAGCATAGTAAAAGACAGAAGGAATTTTGTCATATTGTGCTTTGTGTGTCTTGCTTAGCAAAGAGTAAACGCCTGGAAAAGGGAAGTGTGTCTTAGTCATTGCTGAATCTTCAGCACCTACAGCAGTGCATGCAAAAAGTAGACCTTCAGCCCAGTTGGTGTGGCTCAGTGGTGGGCACTGACTCATGCACCAAGAGGTCATCGGTTCGATCGGTTGTGGGCCTGATCCCCAGTGGGGGGCACGCAGGAGGCAGCCAGTCAATGTTCTCGCTCATCAATGTTTCTATCTCTCTTCCTCTCCCTCTAAAATTAATAAAGAAAAAAAAATTTTTTTTAAAGTAGACCTTCAATAAATTTTAAATGACTATATATTATTTTTAAAAGACAGAAGGAATCTGGGTCCCTGATGATTGTGGAGTCCTAGTTTTGCCTGGCTATTTACCTCTGGACTTCATTAATGAGAGAGAAATCAATGTCAAATTTGGAAGGCATTGACATTTTAAATTTTCCGTCACTCATAGTTAAACCTAATCTTAACTGATACACATAATGATGTGAAATGATTTCTAATATAAATTGTTAAATTTTAAAAAGCAAGGAGCATCCGGTCAGTGTGACTCAATGGTGGAGCATCGACCCATGCACCAAGAGGTCGCCAGTTCTATTCCTGGTCAGGGCACATGCCCAGGTTGTGGGCCCCATTCCCAGTACAGGGTATGCAGGAGGCAGCCAATTGATGTGTCTCTCACATCGATATTTCTATCTCTCGCTCTCTCCCTTCCTCTCTCTCTAAAAGCAATACAGGAAAAAAATATATATATATACACATATACATATATGTAGTATATGTGTATATATATATAATTGATTTTTTTAAATCCTCACCTGAGGATATTTTTTTTGTTTATCTTCAAATAGAGTGGGAGGGAGAGAGAGGGAAACATCAGTGTGAGAGGGACACATCAACTGGCTGCCTCCCAACCAGGTCCAGGGACGAATTGCAACCAAGGTACATGCCCTTGGCCGGAATCAAACCCGTGACTCATTGGTCAGGGACTGATGCTCTACTGTTGAGCCAAACCAGTCAGGGCTATTTTATTGATTTTTTTAGAGAGAGAGAGGAAGGGAGAGAGAGAGAGAAACATTAATGTGAGAGCGATACATCGATCGGCTGCCTTCTGCACCCTCCCCACTGGGGACTGAGCCTGCAATCCGGGCATGTGCCCTGACAAGGAATTGAACTGGG